AGGACTAAAAGATAAAAAAAATATAGTTAGAGAACTAACAGTTCTCTAACAGAATATGAAGTTTTCCATTATCTTTGACCAAGTAGACGAAATTGAAATGAATCTGAAAGTTAATAGACCACTTAGAAATAAAATATAATTTTTAAACTAAAATGAAATTAATGTGATAGTTAATAGATTAAAAATTGAATTAAGTAGTTTCCCCATATACTTCTTCTGTTTGTCACTGTGCATGCATATATATGAATATGAGGACAACTTATGACGCAAGTCACACAACCTTTTTAGAAGTGGAATTTGCGTGCAGGTAACATGAACAATTTATCTAAATTTTGTAGTTAGGATTTTTCAGGTTAAATTTAATTAATATTGTCTTCATTTTGACTTAGGAGAAGTTGAAATCAAGATATCTTAGCATTTTGAATATTAAAATTACCTATAAAATTATTTAAATACTTTTACGTTATATTTTGTTTGAGAGAAATAAGTTCCTTTTCTCTCTTTTTATCTGATTAAATTATAATATAAAAAATTTAAAAAAAAAAACTAAAACAAAATAAGAAAAAACCCATTCATTCTTTGAAACCAAATAAACTATTAGTGAATTAATCTTTTGATTAAATTAGTTTTTAATTGTTAAATTTGATTATTTAAATTTAAAAAACCAAATTAAAAGTCAATAATCATAACCATACTAAACCAAATACAATATTATTTAAATAATTTTATTATTATTTTTGATATTTTAATTATCAAAACGTTTTAATTTTCAATTATCTCTTAATATAAAACTATAAAAGCTAGCATCATAAACCATTGGATGGTGGATCTTATAAGTTCTAAATGTTAGACTCTCTCAACTAACAGTTTTAATTTTGCATGTCAACAAACTGTAACTCGTGCAAATAGATAAAGTAATTACCACATAAGGGAATGACTCCTATTTTGATGCAAACATCACCGTGTTTAAATGAACAAAACCATGTTATTGCTTGAAGAGGAATTGACAATACAATTATTTAGAGCAAAATCAAGTCCTAATCAATCAGAGTATTTGCTGGGGCACGGAGATGGCTGAGTTTTGTCTGACTGTTACAATTTCAGGGGAAAGCATAGCTTAAACACATTGACAAACTTTCCTTATATAAATCCAAACCCATTTTGGAATCGGCTTGCCTCACAACAATTTCTTCTCGTTCCCTTTCCGAGCTATCCATGTCGGGAGGTTCGAGCAATGGATGGTTCAATAAGGTCGCGTTTACAACGATGTGGGGAGAAGGAGAAACGCTTAAAGATTTTTCAAGAAAATGTGATGTTGAATCCCACAATACCAATTCCGGTCAAAAATACAAGTTGGGGATCGATACGTTCAGTGACTTGACTAATGAAGAGTTTAAAGCAGAAATGGTTACAAAGCCACAATGGCAATCCCGCTCAAACATACAAGTGGGGGATCAATGCGTTCACTGACTTGACTAATGAGGAGTTTATTATTATTTTTTTTATTACCCTTTTAATTTCGAGTAATCACATTGAGTTTTAATTAATTTAGAATCAAACTGTCGTCGGATTTTATCGGAAGAAAACTCTTCAAATACTTATTTCTCCATTCACAAAACTCAAATTTAAAATTTTATTTAAAGGTATTGGCAAGGGCTAAGGAAGAGTTTAAAGCAATGAGAAATGGTTACAAAGCTACAAAGCTACGATGCCGATTCCGGTCAAACATACAAATGGGTGATCAATACGTTCACTTACTTGACTAATGAGGAGTTTAAAGCCATGAGAAATGGTTACAAACACCGATCTTCCAGAATTTCAGTCTCATCGTTAAAAAGTTCTTTCAAATGCGAAATTATGTCTTCATTCGCCGTTACTGACACCGTGGATTGGAGACAGAACGGAGCCCTGACTGCCGTTAAGAACCAAGGTGTATGCGATAAGTTATTGATTTAAGACAATTCCACCTCATGGTATTATAAAAATTTAAATTTTTTAATTTCATTTTAATTTAAAGTTTTTAAATTAAAAAATAATTGGTACAAACTTAGTTTAATGTACTTTTTAACATTTTTTTAATTGAAATATTAAAATATAATATAAGTATAATTTAATTTAATTAATTTTTACATCCTGTATATATAATTATAATATTTAAGTTTGTGTATTTTTAATTTAAAACAAATAATAATAATTTTTAATAAATATATTATACGATATATTGAATTAAAATATATATCAACCAATTAATGTTTTTTTTTTTAAATTTATTGGTACCAATTCAATTAAACATTTTTTTATCAAAGCAAATATAATGTTACCATTCTTTTCATGAATTAGATTAAAAAAAAACGTTAATACGGACTTGAAATGACCAAAACGCTATTAATAAAGATCATCCTTATGTTACAAAAAGAATGAATAATCATAATAAAGATCATTCTTTCCATTCACTTTACCTCAACAACCTCTCAACAACCTCTATTAGAACTTAAATATCTTATTTCTATTAAGAGTAGATTGTTATTGAGGTATTTAGAGTTATTGGCAAGTGCATTCTCTTTATTATATGTTAAAAACCAGCAACACGAAAGTAATAAAGAAACAAAAAAAAAGTTTTAAAACAGGAACAAAATTATTATTCTTAAAGTTTAATAGATCCTAAAATACAGTATAATAAACTAAAACTCTCTCAAAGTACGAATGTGTAAGAAATGACAAAATAAGAAATTAAGTGAAAGAGTTCTGAACCTTATCCTTTTTCTTTTTATAGGAGCCAATAGGTCCATTTTCATTGTTATGTCCGAATAGTCATGCATGCCTCTTCTATTAAACCGGTATTCTTCAAAATTTAAAATAAAAAAACGTGTCAGTTGTTTTAAATTACATCCTCATTGACACACCTTTTCAAGGATGTCTTAAAGACATACTTTGTAGCACTAAATGCGTTGGATAAGGTGTATATTTACTAAGACTAAGATTTTAGTTTTAGTCTTTGTAAAACTAATCTCTTTTCAGCTATTCTCCCATGTTCCAAAAAAAAAAAAAAGGAAAAAAAAAAAAGCATGTCTTAAAGACATGTCTTATTTGATCAAAAGTCATATTGACTTTTCATCTAAGTCCGGAGCATTTTAACTCAGCACCTTAAAATTATTCATCATTATATGCTATATAATTGTTGAATCTTTGATTCTTTTCTATAAATGTAGGGTGTTGTTGGGCGTTCTCTGCAGTGGCAGCTGTAGAAGGGATAGTCCAAATCACCACTGGAGAATTATTCTTACCTTCGGAGCAAGAGCTGGTTGACTGTGATACAAGTGGAATAGACCAAGGGTGCAAAGGAGGTTTGATGGATGGTGCCTTTGAATTTATCATTTCCAACAACGGCCTCACCACTGAAACCAACTATCCTGATGAAGGAAATTGATGGAACCTGCTGCAACACAGGGCAACAATTAATCTAACTCTATTGCCACAATCATCACGGGCTACGAAGACGTTCCCACCAATAGCGAGGCGGCGTTGCTGGAAGCGGTGGCAAATCAACCTGTTTCCATTGCAATTGACCCTGGTGAATAGGACTTTCAGCACTACTCAAGCGGCGTGTTCAGTGGCCAGTGTGGGACTCAACTAGACCATGGTGTGATCGCAATTGGGTATGGAACTAGCGATGATGGGACTAAGATTGGATACTAGAGCCCAAAGAAAGTATGAAAAGGCTACGTGTCAAAAGGAATCAAATTTGTGCGGATAGATATTAGTCATCACAGTATCAAGGAAGAGCGAATGGAACTCCAGAGCCAAATATATCAACAAGGGAGGTTATGGCATTCTGGAAGGGCTGAGCATTTCTGAATCCCGACACGGATGTGGTGTCGACACCAAACGGAAGAGCTGAGCTCAAATCTCCGACACGGATATGGTGTCGACACATAATATAGGTGTCGACACCGAACGGAAGGGCTTTTTGACTAACTCTTTGCCTTTCAAATTGAGATGTTTACGAGTTTGGGTATCCCTTATACTCCGTTTCAATAAATATTACTTTTTCTTTTCAAAAAAAATAAAGAATTGGCTGGTGAAGAATTCATGGGGCTCTAGTCGGGGCATGGAGGGTTACATAATAACGGAGGGAGATATTGAAGCTCCTGAGGGACTTTGCGGCATTACTGTTGAAGCCTCTTATCCAACTGTTTGAGAATCAAACATGCATAAATGGCGGAGCTAGGAAAAAAATTTTAGGGGGCCAAAATGAAACACTAATGAAGAACTAGATTTGAATTATATATAAAATAAATAAAAATTTAAAGATAAAAATAACAAAAATAAAAATTAGTAAACCATATTAATAATTTTTCAAAAGTTTAGGGGCCTAAACCCCTCCCTCAAGCTAGCTCTCTCTCTCTCTCTCTCTCTATATATATATATATATTTATACTTTTCAGCAACATGTATATTATTCGGTTCTCCTTTGTTTACCATAACACAAAATAAAATCTAATTGTAGTAGGAATAACATCATGTATAAAGTTTTAAAAACATAGTATACATAAACTATACATCCTGTATTTAATAAATTTTTCATTTCTTTTCTTTATCTATTAATTTCTAATAAAAATAACTTGTTTTGGTAAAGGATTTGCTTCTCATTATGTTGACAAAAGTACGGATTATTTTCATAACTTGTAGATTATTTTCACGCATCTTCAAATATTATATATGGATGATAGGAAGCACGATACGATGGTTTATATTTTCATGCCTTGCACAGGTCCGTTAGGAGTTTTTATATCCAAGGGCACGAGTCTGCTTGTTGATGGACATTAATAGTTTAGCTTGCTATTAAGCCTTGTCTGGTTTTACTGCAGTTTTTGTATAAGGTTTGGGATACGCATTATACTCTCTATAACAAAAATTATCTCATTTTGTCGAAAAAACATATATTTTTTCATGCTTTGGAACAGGGAATTAGCGATTCGAAGTTAATTAAGTTCGTGCTTGCGTGTTAACATATGTTAGTCCAATCACACAAGTAGGCAATCCATATAAGTAATTAAATTTAATTTGCCTTTCTATGGATCTAGACCGGCCTGCTGCTGGCTGATGTCAAGACAATGAAAAAACTGAACTCAGCTCATTTCTTGAGGAAGAAAAATTGGTGCCATAAAATGTGGATTAGCAATTAACAATAGGTGTATAGGCTTAGTTTTTTTTTTTTTTTTTCTTTTTAAATTCATCGCTAATATGAAATTTTATTGATTGAATTTATTGATAAATAAATAGTCTTTTAAGTTACAATAAAGATTTAAGTTTTGGAGGGAGATCAGAAAAATTAAGAGATATGTTGATGAAAGGGTTTAGGTGGGAGGTAGGAGATGGGCAGTGTGTGAGTTTTTGGAGGGATATATGGGTAGCTAATAAAACATTAAGGGATGTGTGTCCTAGATTATTTGAGTTGGCAATGAACAAGGATGGAAAGCTTCAGGAGATGGGGGTGTGGGAGGGAGATTGTTGGAGATGGAGGTTGGATTGGCGAAGGCAAAGAATGGGTAGAGAGATTAGTGAGGAGGGGGTTTTGTGGGAGTTGTTGGATAGTATGTGTGTGAGAAAGGGTAGGGTCGATAATTGGAAGTGGGTACATGATGCGGATGGTGTTTATGCAGTCAAGAAAACTTATGCTTTCTTAGATTCTGGTGATAGAATTCTTGCTGAGCAGGTGTATAAGTTAATTTGGTGCCAATATGTTCCCTCAAAAGTCAGTTTTTTGGTTGGGGATTATGCTTAGATAGATTGACCACAAAGGTTAACTTATAACGAAGGGAGGTAATTTTGCAAGGGGTGGAGTTGTTGTGATGTTTATGTAAGGAGCAAACGGAGGAGAGAGATAATTTATTTTGTACTTGTTGAGAATCTTGGTTGGTATGGATGCAGGTGTTAAAGTGGTGGGGTATGGGAGGGGGTGATGCCGAATATAGTGGATGGAATAGCAGATTTTTTTCTATTTGGTTTGGGAAGGCTTGTAGGAAGAGAGATGGGTTCTTGCATTTTTTTTTATTGGTATCTTGATATATTTGGTATTTGAGGAAAAATAGAGTATTTAAAAATGGGAGGAATTTGGAACAACTAGTATTGGATGCGGTACAAAGTAAATCCTTCATCTGGCTTAAACACAAGGTGCAAGGGTGTGTTTTTCATTTTATGATTGGCAATTATTCCCAATGGGTTGTGCATTGGCTATTCAAAGGAATAGAAGTTGTTTGAAATAGTTTCAAAGACAACATAAGCATGTGGATGCAAGTTTTGAAGCAGGGGCTGTTTGAACATGTAATTTTTGTTTTGTTTTATCTATGGTTATGTTTATGTAGTTAAGGCTGATATGTATAGTATATTTAAATGGATAAGAGTACCCATTGTATTCCATTTTTCTTAATAAATTAATTTTGTTGATAAAAAAAAAAACATTTAAGTTTTGAGATTAACATTCAAAGAAATTAATTTTCTTGAATGTATAAGATTAATATGATAAGTACGCCACATTTTAACGATAAATACTAAAAAAGAATTTGTTAATTTGAAAATTTCTTAGGCTGTTTGGTATTGTATTGTTATTTTTAGTTTTAATTTTTATAAATTTTGCAACTACTGAAAACCACAACTAAAATTGAAAAACTAACAATTTGTTTAACACCAGTTTTTAACACTAATAATAAAAAATGGAAGCTTGTATAACAGCTTTAAAAAAAATTTTATTATTATATTTTTAATAATCATGATAATATGTTACAAAAACACATGAAGTAAACAAGTTTTTTGGTTTTTGGTTTGTGGGTCCAACAATGGGTTTTTTTGGCTTAGAATTGCAACATTTATAAAAATTACAACCAAAATCTAAAATCACAATCATACTAAAAATTCAAAACTAACAATTTATTTAAGAATATTTTAACACAAACAACTAAAAATATAAATTTGTTTAATAGTATTAAAATTATTTTTTTTCTTACTTTTCTAGTAATCATGATAACATGCTGCAAAAACAAATAAAAGCAAACGATTTTTTTTATCTAAAATTGTAAAATTTATAAAAATCAAAATCACAATTTCCTAGTCAGTTTGTGAACTGGATAATGCTATGCGTGTCTTCTACCAGTTTTTCATTGGTCTTTAATGGAATACCACATGGATACTTCCAAGGGAAAAGAGGGCTGAGGCAAGGAGATCCTCTTTCCCCATACTTGTTTGTTATAGGGATGGAATTGTAGGAAATAGGCATATTTTGTAATTTTGTTTTATATTAAGGGCTTTTATGTAACTTTACATTTTATATAACCTAATATTTATATGCTGCTAAAGGTGAGCAGCTCGGTAACTGGTTTTGCACCCTCCACTTCCGCCTCACTTTACATGGTATCAGAGCAGATTTCGCCAGAGCTTCTTGTTTCGCGCTGCTAGGGGTTTTGACTCCATAACCACCGGCTCAGTATCGGAGGTGAAGCCATTGCAGAGGATTTCGACACTGAAGCCAAACCAGATTCCTCAAAGTTCACTTTGCTGGTAACAATGACGCCCAGAACAAGAGTATCCCTAGTATTGTTCTCGGTGACATCTGGAAACATCTTACAGCCGCCGCAATCACTGCCGCATTTGCAACCTGCGCCGCAGCCACAGTTTCCTCCACAGCAAGACATTTTCAACAGTAGAAGATGGAATCGCAGAGCTGAATCAGGGAGAGGATTGATTCCTTTTCCTGTTTTGTCACGATCATAGTGTGGATTGGAGATTGGATTTCTTGATTGGGTTTTTTCATCTCGTATTGACGGTAATATCGATTACCCTTTTATTTGCTTTTCTCCTTAGTTGATTTGCATATTGATTTGTTGCTGCGGAATTGGATTCAATAATGACCGAGAAAAATGAGACTTTGGCTATCAAATTAGATGGAAAGAATTTTTCTTTGTGGAAATTCCATTTTCGATTCTTTGTAGAAGGCAAAGGTTTGTGGGGCTATATTGATGGAACCGAGCCTATGCCTGAAGCATCAAAAATCAAAGAACTTCAACAGTGGAAGATGAATAATGCAAAAATTGTTTCTTGGATTTTGGCTTCTGTTGATATTAATATTGGAATCCCTATGTGAGGATTTCGCACTGCTAAGGCAATGTGGGAACATCTTGAAAAGGTTTATCAACAGTCAAATTGGGCTAGGAAATTTTAGATTGAATTTGACATTTTCAAGTTTGCACAGGGTGATAAAAATATTCAAGACTATTATGCTGCTTTCATGAGTCTATGGACTGAATATGAGCAGGGGATTATGGGTGACCGTGAGGACTGTTGCTTACAGAGTTTACAGACTCTGAATGATGAAAGAAAAGTGATGCAATTTTTGATGAAGCTAAGACCTAAATTTGAGCCTCTTCGTGCCAG